CTATGAAAAATAAATTAATTTACAAAGTTGTCTAACCTTACTATCAAGTAAAGAAAAGATTCTGTAGTAAATATATGATCTTGAAGTAGACATATGAATTTAAAGATAAATACATACAAGTGAGTTCAGGTATTTGTACAAATAAGCAATACGGCACACACACAGATATCTGCAAGATATAGTTGTAGTGTAACTGACATCTCTAAAGTACAAAATAATTTTATTTTTACATATATTCAAAAGATTGATCACTGAGTATATGGAAAAATAAGTTGTGTTTAAATGAGAACTTGGTAGGGAATTCCAAAATGTGGTAGCTCATATGACAAAGGATTTTTTGAAAGGAAACAGTTCTATGAGAAGGAAGAAACAAATTTGAGGATTGGGATCTCATGTTGAACGAATGAACAGAGGAACAAGGAGGTAAGAAGGTTTTTTGGTTGTAAAGGGTCAGAAAAGGAATACACCTAGGAAATATTGTTAGAAAACTGGGTAGAGCCACTTCAACTTGGCATAGCAACTGGAGCATGGGTGCACCTGAAGACTTCAAGGATAAATCTAATGAAACAATTCATTAGTCTCGTTAATCTGACCTCAAGCCCACCATATTCAAGGCAGCCATAATTGAAGTGATTATATGTAAATAGTTCTAGTTTTATGAGAGTTTTGTCTCCTAGCCAGATAATCCATGGCCCTAGATAAAATAATTGTAAATCCCAACTTAATAGAAATAAAGTTTAAAATTTTGTTTTCATTAATAATCTTTTTATTTGTTTTGGGAAGATTCCCTCCAATAATGAAGTGAGCTTCTAGGATTATTATGATTATTAACAATAGAGACATTGCATAAGATATATATGTGTTTGTATGTAAACAGGCATAGGAGTGATGACCCTACAACCTCAGTACTTTAATCAGAAATCATCATGTGGTTTTCCTGATTTCAGGGAAAAAAAATAGTTACACCATCATGTTAGTATTTTTTGAAGTACATATAATTAAATTATTTCGATTATTATTTATATTATCACAGTCATAAAATAATTGACTCCATGAAATAATCAAACGGATCTAAGTGTTGAGTTTCCGCCATATGTGGAGTAACTTTTTTGGAGCCATCCAAAATTTCTCACTGGTGAGGGAGCCCCACTTCTCTTGATTCTGGAAGAGGGTTAATGGCTTTTATGGAGAACACCCTTCATAATTTGGCAGCTGGATTTATGATCATACTATAAATAAAATTTTGGATATTTTTGTGTGTAACCAAATCCATCTAAACTATACCTTCATATTAAACCAAATGAATATTAATATTCCCAGGGGGAGTATCCATGTCTGTCTGACAGCGTACCTACCCCCCATTTTATAAATTATACAACTGTTCATTTAGTTGTAGTCACTGCTCAAATCGTATAACTATAATTTATCTGTATTCTGTAGTTCAGATTGTATTGTTTTATCAACATAAGATAAAGTAAATGAAATCACACTTCCGACAAATTTTTAATTTCTTTAAAAATCTATATTATACTTAACATCTTATTACCAATTTATATATATATTTTTTCTGTTGGCATTACAGACCATGTAGATCTTTTGTTGCCTTTACAAGCCTGCTCCATTTATTCCTTTCTATTTATCTGCATACAGCTCTAGTGTATCTTTGTTGATTCTATCTATCCATCTGCTTTTTGATTTTCCAGGTGGTCTTTTGCCTTCTATTGAGGCATTCATTGTTACATAGAGCTACAAGCCCTGCCCATCTTAACCTTCATATCTTCAGATATTGATTGACTAGTTTCTGTAAGCAGTTTTATGGTCTTTCTTCTCCATGTGTTAGTACTCTGATCCCTGATCGCTCCCAGAGGATTTTTCTCTTAAAATCTTTCAACACTAGTTTCTAGGGTGCTGGTTGGGGTCTAGGTCCCACAGCAATGTATTAGAACTAACTTTATCATAGCATTATACATCCTTAGTTTGAGATTTTTCAGGATCTTAATACCTTTGAAAGGGAGAAGAAAGCTCTATTTGGCCTGGTTATACGCTGGTCTATTTCTGACTGTTGATCATTCACTGAGGTTGTCTTAATTTTTGTAAGTTTGTGTTCATAATTAAAGGCTTATAATCTTTTTAAATTTTTTTTTCTGTTTTTGGGTCGTAATTATGCATTCAGGAATATAATTATAATTCAGAAATGTCGAAATCGTCAGAATTTGATTGATTTATATTTCAAGAGAAAAAAAATATATAACAAATATAAACATTAGGTAATATACAAATTGAAAAAAATAAATTGAAGAAAGACAAATTACTAAAAAACTAAAAGCTTATATAAAGTTAGAAAATATACATACAACACTACTTCAAAAATATAATTTTTTATATAAAATATATTAAATTTTAAGGGTATATATTATTCGATCTAATTTTTTAAAAATAGATAATACATATGACAATATTTCCTGAATTAATGCAAATTATATCATACAGAACCTGAATATTTATTTATGTAGCAATAAAAAAGAGAAAAATATTAATATTAATAGTGAAAACACATAATATTCTTTATAAAAATAATACAATAATAATTATTTTAACTAAAATTAATGTTCAAATAATTTAATTAAGTTACTCTCACTTGGAGAAAATTTTAATTTTGATGTTATTAAAATAGACAAAGACATTATTCATTTAATAGCTGATTTCACTAAATTGTCTCTACAATTTATGACTGTATTGTTAAATCAGAATGCCATATAAATGGATTGGAATACTGATAAGGCCCAACTGTGACAGTTGCAGGCATGGAGCAGCCAGTGTGTCTGAGTTGCAGTGGCCTGAGTAAAATTATAATAAAAATATATTTCAATAATCAAACACAAATAAAATTTTAATTAAACTAGTTTCTTGACTGTTAATAATATATATTTTCTGTGGATATTGAGATTCAGCAAAACAAATCACATAGCTGTTTTAACATTCACAAATATGATTTATGTATACTTATATATATCGGCAGTATATTGTAAATATACGAACTGTATTTTTGATATAGGTTAATTTTCAAATATGCTTTTTGTGAATTTCGACTTTATTTTTCTATATAAAATCACTTCAAATGTATGGAAATGACACAAATCCATTTATGTATATATATTGAATACAGTTACAACAAGATCACAATTTTCTGATTCCACAAAGGGATTAATTATTTAAAGTAATGAAATGTCTTTTGCGATAAACCTACTACATATTAATTAATTAATGGACAATAGGACTGTTGGTTAATAAATATAATATATAATATATTCATAAATTAAATGAGGTTATGGAAAAGAAGACTTTTGTCACTGGACCAGTAATTTGTCACTGTTCCAATGCCGTCACTGGAACAGTGACAGATTTTTCCTGGATCATCGCATCCTTAGTTCAGAATAGGTTCTCATCTATTAGAAGTCTTTATCAGTGAAAACAGTTTCTTTTCACCATCAAATATTCATATAAAGGAATATCAAGCAGCCCTGATTTGATTAAAGTAGAAATAATTTTATGTATACTAATTAACTGGATCTGGATTGATCAATGGGGATGCAGACAAATCAATTGTTACGTTTTGCGTTGTGTTGAAAAATATGAAAGTTTCAAGAGTGTTTTAGTCTGAACTAACTTGGAGTATTTCCAAGTTAAGTAGTATTTACTTAACTAAATCATATTTTAAGAGGAATCTTTGTAGGGTTTCCTCGGCTGATTGGTTTCTTGCACAGAAAACAAATCACGTCAATTTTATCTGTTATAGAATTAGAGTGACACTCTGCCTTAATTGATAACTTGAGAGGAGGAACCCTTATATAGTTTCTTAACAATATTTATACTTTCATTCCCTGCCAAAACTAATTTTTATACGGACATTAATTTTAAGCAAGGCAAATTAGTTAATACATCTTATCTAAAGCAAATAAGACATATACATTACCACATTCTAAAACTTTAGAACTGGATATATAAAGTATTACACAATAGCGAATTTTGGATTCGCTAATTTACCATTTGGTATTGGTAAAATAACGGAAGTGAGATAAAATGGTATTATCAAAAACTGAAGAAGGTATTAAGAAATATAAATCGGTAATGATTCTAGGCGGTATGCCAAAGGCACTAAAGTATTTCAAATCCATAAAATCTCCAAATTCGATTTTTACCAATTTGATATTTTTCTATGAACTCAAATATATTTGATTTTTATTATACTATTTCCACATAAGAAGTTTATTTCTCCTTGTATTCTACTTCTTTGAGAAAAGTAACGGGACTAGTGGTGCTACCTAGTACTATTACGGGAAACATACGTAACTGATAGAAGTTTTTACGAAGAGCCTAGATAGTGTTTGGGATATGTCCTCATTATCACAGTAATTTGTCCTTTAGTTATTTCCAGTAATTGTAATTGAAACGTTTTCTATTTTTTAATAATTACAAAAATATGAGTTCGATAACTGAAGATTCACCACTGTGTAAGTTTCTTTTTTTAGTTTAGGAAAAATAAGTTGTAATGTATTCAGTGAGGTTTAGGTATTTTGTTTTTCTTTGTTTTAGTACAAGACTATTCAGTTAAATTTAGAGCTATTTCACTTTCATCATTCTATTCTGTAGATTATTTTTTTCTCTAATATTGTTTGTATGGTCATTCCTAATGTCAGAGATATTTAAATAACTTGGTTAGGTCCATTCTTAGATATCACTTTTCTTTTGCTATTTGAAAAAACATCAATTTACTGTGGGTCATTTTAAGCAACAAATTTTTGAATTTGATGTTTTAGTCACTGTTACAGGTTTTTAAAATCAATTTGTGTTGTTTTTTTGGGATAGAGAACTTTTAATTTCTCCAAATGAAACTTCTTTAATAGTTTTGTAAATTTTTCTTGGTGTTTTTAACACCTTATTCTATAACAAGTTTATTCTTAGAAAGTAATAATTTTTTGTAATTGTGTCACAAACCACTTATGTTATCTGTTTATTATGTTTCAGCTACATGTAATCCTGATGTATCTATAAAAGAAGAAATGACTGACAATGCTGAGTCTACTGGTAAGTTTTATTTTTTTGAATGTTTTGTAGTTTCAACTGTTCATGTATTATAAAGTTAACAGGTTAGAAGTCTGTATTCTATAAAATCATCACTATTAAAATGTTTTTCCTATAACTCGCCCATCATGAAGTTTAAATGTTCATAATGTAAATTCTTACTGTTATTATTGTTTTTAAGTTAAATATAGAATAAAAGATACATTATAGGGTGTGGTTGAGAATTGTACAGAAATGTTTACCAAAACTTATTAGTTTAATATTTTATTTATCTTTTCAGGCCAAAATGAAGAAGGAATTTTAATTAAAGAAGAAATGACAGAGGAAAATGATTCTATTGGTATGTTTCCTTCTTATTTACTTTTGTTGCAATTTATGTATCAAATGTTTACCTTAGGGTCTATTGATTATGTTATAACCTATGCTGCCTGTAAACTTTAGAAGATAGTCTATGACAGGAATCCCTTATCTTTTTGCCTTAGGGATACATTTATTGTTAGTCCAATAATAATAACAATCTAAGGTGGGCACCATGTTGTGGTTTCTTACATTTGTCATTGTTTGCTGTTGTTAATAACAATCAAAAGAATAATTATATATAAAAAGTAATGCTTATATTCTTATTTAAAAGGGACAATTATGTACTTAAAAATATTGTAAATATGTTCATATTGATAATATAAAATTTCTATATGAGAAATGTAAAAGCTAAAGATTGCGTATATTTGCACTATATTTTATCACTTAAATTGTATTAAATACTGTAATTTAAAGGACTCATGCGTTTGAGGATTCTTGGTCTAGGCAATATAGGAAAATTGTTGGAGAGTTTTTAAGTCATTAATTTCAATAAACCACTGTTTTTTGCGTGTCAAAATTTTACACTTTTTTATTTTGTTTTTACCTATATCTCAAAAACTATATATATATAATATATTTATATTTTATCAAAAAGATAATTTACAACATACAAAATTGTTTGTTAATTTTTTCTTTATAGTCAACTGATAAACCACTAGTGTGTTGTTAAAGGAGCCAAATTCTTAAGATTGACATAAGCGAGGTGTACGCCTTTTTACTTCTGATTTTCATGAAAACTACAAATGACTTCTGTTGACCATATATGGATGGATATTACACTTCATATATTACAGAAATATACCTGAAAACTAGATTCCTGTTTGTTATTTATATATTGAACAAGCGTCACCATTATGTCAAAAATGAAAGCGAGAGAAATCCAGAAAATTTATCTTTACCTCTCCATTCATTATGGAAAACCAATGTACATCAATAATTTTGAAAGATGTCAACTAAAAGTTCGGTCTACTTTATTACAAAAAATAGGCTCTTCCTACTGTAGCAGTAGCCACTCTTTCTTTCCGTTTCACTACCTAGACATATTTAATAATAGAAATAAATTAATAATATTTCTCATTAATTTTTTTTTCTGTCATTTCCCATTTATGATTTATTTGTATTCATTGAAAATCATTTTGTAGTTATATCATAACATTGTTAAGATATTAAAGGGAATGTATATGTATGAATGTGCAGACTTACGATTTCTCCTTATCTTCAATCTGGTTATTTATCTTCTTGTTTTCATTTATTTTTGTACAATGTTTTAGCTATATATAGCCATTCTCAATTCAATGATGTATTATGTTTTATACATTTTGTTTTTATGAAATATCCATTTATAATTCTTTATCGGTCCTTGCTATTAGTTCTTTAATTTTTTATTTTAGATTTAAATTGTTAATTAAAATTTACTTATGTGTATTGTTTATTTTTTCAGACCTATGTAAACCTGGTGTTTCTATCAAAGAAGAAATCCCAAAGGAAACGGATTCTAAAAGTAAGTTATCCCTTTTCGGACTTTTTAAATTTTATTGTTGCAGATTAACGATTGACTGTAGTGAATAATTGAAGAGAAGAATAGTTGGGGTCATCAGTCAAAAAAAAAAATAGTAAAAATAAATAATCATATTTATTTTTGCCAACATTTCGGCCCAAAGTTCAGGTCTTTCATCAAATCTTCTCTTCAACTTTTAATTTTATATTGTACCTACTGATTAGTAATTAAGTATTTTGGGAAATTGTGGGCTCAAAGTAATTATTTTGTTAAATTATTAATTTTTAAATATACTCTCTGTATAAATTGTTAATAAGCTATAAAAGGCTGATGAGTTCCTCAACATGTACTCCTAGAAAAGGAGGTCGAGAGGTACATATCCTGCAAGGGACAGTCTTCATGAGACACTCCCCATAAGTACTGGTGGTTCGCAGGAGACCCATCCTCTGAATCAATGCCAGCCTGCTCTTCTAGTGATATGAGAGATTCAGACTCCAGCCAGCAGACACAGGCCTCAGGATACTCACACCTTTATAAATGGTCATAGTCACTTGGTAGCTTAAGGTCCTAAAAGGCAACCTGATAAGATTTACAAGGGACTATTTGAGAAGTAGGGTGATCCTTGCTTGTAACAGACTTTAAAGGTGTGGCTACAGTCAGTGGGTCACCAATTTCAACCAATTTTTTTTTGGCGATACTACATCAAAAGATATTGGAGTCAAATCCTAGCAGAGAAAAAAATTTTTTAAATATAATTTCAAACAAAATTTATGTTATTTATTTTTGCCTCTGCTTTGCCCAGACTTTTAGGATATTATATATCAATCAACTTGTTTCTTTGTGCAAAATGGGAAAAAAATATTATCTCTTGAATTAGATGAGCTATAATGTTTTATAAATTACAAAAACTAAAACGTGCTTCCAGTAAAGTTGGCCAAATAAATTTTTGTAATGAAAATGCAAGTTAGATTTATTTTTAGTGTCCTTTGAAACTCTTAAATACGATTTTTTGCAATTTTTGATTTCTATAAAAATTCGTATTTAACGGTTTCCAAGAACATTAAAAATGAATCTATCTTGCTTTTTCATAACAAAAATTTATTTGGCCAACTTTACTAGAAGCGCCTTTTAGTTTTTGTATTTATGAAATATTATAACTCATCTAATACAAGAAACAATATTTCCATCTTATTTTGCACAAAGAAACAAGTAATTCTAAACAACTAGTCTCTGTCAAACAACAACTTCCAAGATGGTAATACTATTACTGGGTTTTATCCACTGGAGCCAGGATCCCTTCTCCTATCCTCTCTTCACTGCAGCCACAAAGCAACTGCTTGCCAAAACAAATCCTTTGTTCTATCCCCTCTTTGGGATTTTCCTTTTTGGAGAAACTACAGAGGAGCAGTCATTCTCTTTTCCCTGAACTAGTGAAACTAGATTATCTTGCTTCAATTGTTACATTAATTTATTAAACCCTTTTTACTCACTTCCAATAAAGGTGTACATTACAATATATTCAGAAGGTTGATTGCTTCCAAGATGAATAAATAATTGGTGTTTAGGAGAAGTAAAAGATGAGGTTTTGCTTTTGCCTTTGGAGGTGCGTAAGAAATTCTAGAACGAGTTAGTATGCATTATACAGTAATGCGTAACTTCTTAATGCTGATCGTACCTGGTTTTTCTATAATGTAAGGTAGATTTGTAAATAAATAAATATATGTGAATTAAAAAAAAATATTCTGAGAAGGAATTGGTCGGGGGGTGCGATCAAAGAACTACTAAATTTTTAAAAAATAATATTTTTAAAATTTAGTAGTTCTTTGACCGCACCCCCCGAACCAATTCCTTCTCATATTATATCACGGTCCACCATCTCTACATCATTAAAAAAAATACTGTCTATTTGTTTAGTTAAGAAATATTTTAATTTTTCTAATTCTATTGGCTTTAATTTTTTTACTTTTTGCAAAAGTTGATACTTTATAACAATAATTTTCTTTTCTATTCAAACACAACATTGGATCAATAAAATCTCAATTTTGTTATTACCAATACCAGTAGGTTTTAAATTTTAGTAACGGTGCATCAAAATTCATGGGAGACTTGCCAGTATTCAATAATCCATACTGGCCGAGTAGTGTGTTTACTACACAATATGGATCATTGAACACAAATGTTTGCCATAAGTGTGGCCACACTGTTACAACTATAACTATAACCCCTAGGACTAGTTGTACGATTGGATATTAAACCAACATTAAATCGAACTTGGTTAGAATTTTAACTAGTTTCATTTCCTCAATACGTCGTACTATTATAGTTAACTAATGATCACTCTTAGTTCAAGAGTCAATTGGCAGCATTAAAGCGGTGAACCATTATTAACCTTCTACTCATTTTTCTTTTGATTTTCAAGTTATTTACAATTTTATTTAATTGTTTGACATAGAACTTCTTAAAATTTTGGAATGCAATAAAACTGGAATTTGTTACGATATTTAATTTTAGTATTAATATATAATTTTTTTATTGTATATTTGGATGATAGATGGGTCATGGAATAAACTTTAGTTTTAAAATTTGTTAAATTTTATAAGTATGGGTCATGGTCGAAAAAGAATTTAATAGCTCAAGCGGTGACAATTTTTCAAGTTGAAAAATTCTTAAAAACAGGTATTATTAATAATGCTTTATGGAATATATAAAGCATAAAGATGTAATAATGAAAAATATAAAACATTTTATGGCATAGAAATCCCAAATGCTCGGAAATTTTACACAATATATTACTGGTGCATAATAAATTAACAATAATATATATATTTTTAAAATTATTGTAGGAAGTTAGTAGACTATTCTATATATAATAATAGTAATAAAAGGCTTAGGAAACCCGAAGGTTCAAAGCCGACACTACTAATCGCTTATTGCACACCTCCCTCCACCGTTCGCCATCCGAACTCAGTCTCTTTAGATCAGCTTTATCGCAATCTTCCCACCTTCGCTTCGGTCTACCCCTTGGCCGTTTACCATTCGATACAGCATATATTAACCTGTTAGGTTCATTCGTTCTTCTTTCGTTACTAAGCCCATTAAAGCTTGTTATCAACTCAATTATATTAACCAGATACAGTTCACTCAATTCGACGTTGTGTAACCATGTAAACTCTCCGGTTAACTCATTCTTCTTCGGTTCAAATATTCTTTTCAATACTTTATTTTTAAAAATCTTAAGATGTTGCTCATCCCTTAATGTAAGGAGCCACATTCCACATCCATAAAAAACTGTAGGTAAGATAATGGTTTTATAGGTTCTAGTTTTTAAGTTCCGGGACTAGAGGTGCGAGCTAAATATTTTTGTCACAGAAAAATAACAAGCATTTCCCACTATCAGTCTAACCTTAATCTCCTCTTCGATTTCGTTTTTTTTTTTTAGTTATCGTAAATACCTAAACTTCTCCACCTGTTCAAATATATTACCTTCTGTATCGATATCACCAGCAAAATCACCATTTTTGCTGTTAACCATATATTTTGTCTTATCCGTGTTTATTTCCAGCCCCAGTTCTTTACTGGCTTTAATTAACGTTGTTGTATTTAGTTATATAGTTTCTGTGTCTTCCCTTAACAGGACCAGATCATCCCGATAGCCAAACACGGGTGTTGTCCCTCCCAGATCCAACCCTTTTTCGATATGCATTGCCTCCGTAATGGCATGTTCTACATATCATGGATGATAAATACGTAAGTCAGATAAGTAAAACCTAAGTCAGGACATAGTCATTGTGAATATTTTTTATTGGTGCCAACATTCAAGCAGTACTTAAATAACTTTAGTGCTCGAAACATGCCCTGATGATAACCCACATGCTTGGGTTGAAACGTTGGCACCAATAAAAAATATTCACAATGACTGTGTTCTGACTATTTATCACCCATGATATACTTTTTTAATATGATTTATTTTTTCATATTTTCCAACTACAAGTTTACAATTGCTGTGGATCTGTACCCTTTTACAATACATTTTTATATATATACAATATGTTACCAATAAAATATATTACATTTATTTGTAAAAATACAATGGAAAAAAAAATACTATTCTAATGCTTCAAAAAAAAAAAATCTTTTATTTCATGATTTTTTGGGTGGTGGATTTGCGAACTTAGCTCAAACTGCAAAAATTGTGGTAAAAATATTTTAATGTTAATGTATCATATATATAATCCTGAAATAACTTTATTATCAAAATTAGGATTAGATGTCTCAAATCTTCATAAAGTACTACTTAATAAAAAAAAAAAACATAATCTTAATAAACCACATTGGATGCCAGACTATGTAACCTAAGTTATATTGAACTCCCACACTCAGTAGCAATAATTAATTAGACAGTAATTAATTCACAACTAACTATTAAATAATTTACAACTGTAACAATCGCCTACCACATTAAATGCAAATTTGAAGATTTGACTATGCTGCGATATTTTCATTTTGGTAGTGACTATCACTGATCCAAAGCTCTTCAAATTGGTTGATTCCACCAACTTATACAAGTTCGTAAAGGCTTTTGGCCTGTTTTAAGTGAGAATATGAGAGCGCACAATAGCCCTCAGTGAGGCTGCAGTGCATCTTTGTCGGGGAGGGAGGGAATTCTGACTATTTCATCATCCTCATAAAAATACTTTTTATTACATTTTGAGCTGTAAAAAGTTGAGATTTAAAAAACAAAACAATACTATTTAAAATAAAATGTAGACTATTTTATAGCAGAATATGTTTCATTCTCGTAGGTTTATATTTTGGAGTTGATCTTTTTGTATAATATTTTATTTCAGGTTTTAAGGGATGTAATGAATGTTCTTGAGATTGAAAGAAGGGTAGGGTTGTTTTGTAAATGTAATCTTGTATCTAATTCTTAGTAATTTGGTTATAATAGAAATAATTATTAACAATTCTAAGGCATTTGTTTAAAAAAAAAAATAGAAGGTTTTTATGTTAGCTCTATTAGTAAAGCTCCATCTGGAGCAGCAGGCATATGTTGAAATTTGTCTTATTACTGATTTATACAGAATTAATTTGTTTTTTGGTGAAAGTTTTAAAATTTGAATTGAAATATGGGAAGCATATTACATGTTATTTTTTGGGCGTTTTCTAATTTTGAATTGATGTGCTGATTAAATAGGAGTTTATTATCGAGTGTTACACTTAAGTAGTTAACTGACTTTCCAAGGGGAATTTAAGATTTTGGAGTCATTTAAGATTATGTTCAGCAAGATTATAGGACGTCGTTTTGTAAATATAATGGCTTCAGTTTCGTCTAACAATAATAGTATATTACAATATTACACAGAAGACCCTGATTCACCACAAGTTGTATGTACCAGAAGAAAGGAAGAAAATATATTAAAACATGATCTAAAGAAATAATAAGAAATTTTAAAACTAGTTGTTATATGAAATATAAATATAGAGTAATAAAACTATAAAAGTGATAATGATTGATTTCTATTTAAGAAATGAGATTATAGAAAGATGAGACAGATTGAAAAAAAAAAATAACATATATAAAATGAGAGTTAAAATCAATTAGATGAATTTTGTTTATGTTGGATAGATCAAATGCTTAGTGATGTTTAAAATACAAGTTAAAATGTTTAAAATAATATATGCGAGCCATAAAAAACTTATTTAAAAAATACCAGTAGGTGGTCCTGAAGAATTCCCAAATTGTTAAAATTCTTGGAACTAGAGTTACTGGAAATGAATCTTAGTTTGATGATGTCTCTGGTATTTTAAATTAATTTATTGTTTTTAATTTAAAAATGACACAGCAGGATTCACTTTCAATTGATTCCAATTTTAAATAGATTTGAATGAAATAAATTTAATTATGATGCACCAGGACTTTCCTTCAATTAACTAATACTCGATGAATTTGGTTATTTATAGTTTTGATGGAGAAAGCAGATGAGCTTATCGAGGTCGTAGCAGAAACTAAGATCCTACATGATGAGGAAGTTCTGACTGATTGTTGTCAGGCTGATTCATTGAAACCAGAACTGCCAAAAAAAAGGAAGAAATCTGTCCATCACGAATTGTCCCAATTGAATGCTTACCAAAGAGAGTTAGTAGCTCGACAGAGGGAATTAGTTGAGCGGGTGCACAAATCTAAAGTAGATTTGCTAAACGCTGTCAGAAAACGTCATAAGGAGGTGGAAGAACAATTACAATCGAACTTGTTAAGATTAAAAAAAAAAAAAGAAAATATATTGTTGATTTAATTTATGTTTTTTTTTTTCTTGTTTCTTTAGAAGTAAAATTCCTTAATACTAGGTTTTGAGATTGGAAATATTAAAAAGAATTGGATACCTCTAATGTATCAAAAGTTTGAGCTGGGTCTGAACTACGAAATTTATAAAATTTGAAGAATGGACTCAATAAATTTAAAATAAGAGTTTTGTTAGGCTATTTTTATAATTTTTAACCTATCTGTCATTTGGTGAACTAATATAATTTTCAGTTTTGCTCAAAATTTAATAAAAATTATTTTTATGAGGATGATAAAATAGTCTACCTCATGATAAAATAGCCCTCTCCACCCTCCCTAGGACAAAGGTGCACTGCAGCGTCACTGAGGGCTATTGTGCGCTCTCATATTCTCACTTAAAACAGGCCAAAAGCTTTTGCGAACTTGTTTAAGTTGGTGGGATCAATCAATTCGCAGAGCTTAGGATCAATGAGTGATACAGTCACTACCAAAATGAAAATATCGAAGCATAGCCAAATTTTCACATTTGCATATAAAGTGGTAGACGATTGTTACAGTTATAAATTATTTAATAGTTCGTTTTGAATTAATTATTGCAACTGAGTGCTGTCAATCTATATAACTTATGTTACATAGTCTGGTTCACAATTTGAGATATCTAATCCTAATTTTGATGATAAAGTTATTTCAGGATAATATATATACGATACATTAAGATTAAAATATTTTTGCAGTTTGAGCTAGGTTCTGAAATCCACCACCCTAAAAATCATGCAATCAAAGCTAAAAGTTTAAAAAAAAAATTTTTTTTGAAGCATTGGTATAAGCGCTCCAGTGATGGACAAAGCTATGGAAAGTTTTGCCTTCTCTTGTCTTAGTTAGTTATTTTAGTTATGAACTTCTGCGTTGGATATTAAGAAATTTTACTATCTTCTTTGAATATTCCATACCTTAAAATTGAAAAAAATTTAAGTTTTGCAAGTGTAATCTCCAGTTAAAATAATCAATTTTTGCACTAGTAAACGACACCCCAAAATCCTATTATTCTAGTGATGGACAGGGGGTTGGTATCAGTGATAGTCATACCTCAGAAAAAATCAAAAATCTTTATTAAACTATGGAAAAGAACAATTTTAATTTACAGTTTCGCTTACCTATATATGAAATATATAATTAGAAGAAATTTTGTGATCGTGAAAAATTTCTAATCTAATCTTTCAACAAATTTAAAAGTCTCCTAAGTCTTATTGAAGAAGTCTCACAAAATGGTGTGTGAACTCAAAAAGTAAAAGACGTACGATTCTGGTATCGTATAATGGTGGAGAATTTAGTGTAACTATACATCTTGGATGTACTTCATATCTTTAATTTTACATTATATTATTATTAATATGCTGTACAGTCCTTAACGGACCTAGGCATCAGAAACAAGCTTTGGCCAGGCTTCTCTATCGGCAACTATTCTTGTCCATCTTCTTATATCCACGCCGCTAAGGTCTTCTTCTATGTCGCCAATCCACCGCAGCCGGGGTCTTCCTCTAAGGCGCGCCCCTTCTGAACATTTATAGAGAAGTTTTCTTGGCAATCTATCCTCTTCCATCCTCTCTACGTGGCCAAGCCATCTGAGGTGGTACCTTTTGACCCTGGCAACAATATTGTCATCTTTATAATGTTATCACATAGCTCTTCATTTTTTCTTATTCGTCACTGGTCATTTATTCTTTTGGGACCTTATACTTTCCTTAGGGCTTTCCTTTTCCAAATATTCAGCAGCCTGTCGCTTTCCTGAGTCAACACCCACATTTCACACCTGTAGGTAACGATTGGCCTAATTATGATTTTATAAGCTGTTATTTTAGCATGCTATGCCAGTTCCTTTCATTTTAGTAATTTTGCCAGAGGATAAAAACATTTATTACCTGCTGTAATTCTAGCTTTTATTTCGGTCTGTATTTTGTTTTGGTTAGTCACTACCACTCGCAGATATTTAAATTCTTTCCCCATTAGAAAACTATTCTGATTAATTTGAACATATTCATTACTTGCTTCATTATTCCGTGTGTACTTCATGTAAAGGTTTTTATCTTCATTTATGCTCAGGCCCGCATATGCAAGGCATTGTGTCAGTCACTGATCCTTATTGTTCTCTTAGCTCACTCCAGCGCTAGATTAAAAAGGAGTGGCGATATAGGGTCTCTCTGCCTCAAGCCCTGTTTTTCTTCAAAGCTGCTTGGAAGGTAATTTTGAATTTTGACTTTACACTTCGTTTTCTATGTCACCTCTGTCAAAACAATAAATTTCTCGGGAATTCCTAGCATTCTCATAGTTTGCGTTAATTCCTTTCTGTCTACAGAGTCATACGCCTGCTTAAAATCAATAAATGAATGGTGCAGATCCATGTTATTTCCTATGCTTTCTCCAACATCTGTCTGACATCGAAGATGTGGTCCACTGTTGATTTATTTTTCCTGAAACCACATTGGTTTTGATTTTACATACATTTCTCAAAACCTTACACAAGAACAATTTTAACTAATAAAAATGTTGGCTAAACTCGTATCGGTGTAAAGTTAAATGATCTATATCACCAGTTGGACCTTATCTTCATTGAGACAGTCATAGGGAAAAAATAAAAATATTCCTCTAAAGAAGTTTAATTTTGATTATTAGAAGTAATGAACTATGAAAGAGTTTGATAATTAACATAAGGAGAAATATTTTCACTGGCTGAAAAGAATTTTCCGGAAATCAAAGTAGTAATTACAAATGTATGAAATACCGTTGGAAATCTAAATGTTTTAGAAAAATGAATATCTAATATATAGATATAGTAAGTTTTAGAAGGTATAACAGGTGGAGGGGAGGGAATAGTAAAATATTACCATACCTTATGAAAAAATATTAAAAACTGATCTCTAAAAGTATTATTTTTCGTGTAATTAAATTTAATAGGACTACAAGAATCACTTAAGCACCATTTCAAATAGGTACTTAGTTTCTTTCTTTTGTTTTTAAAGTAATTATCATTAAATAGAAGAGAAAAAAAAAGTTTTCGGGCTGAAACCCCCCAAAAATGTCAAAAGGTCAGTTAATATCTGACTGTTTTGGGGACAGGAATTGGAATAAGAGGGTTTTGATTATGGATATGGAGGGGAAATGCCGAATTTTGATATGTAGGGAATTCCAGAAATTGACAGAGGTGCAACAAAGGAGTTTTGGAATGAGGCAGATCTGAGAGGAGAATTGTGCAGGTCAGAAGGTCAATTAATCCTGTGATATGGGAATGGAAGGAGGGGAAGAGCCACCATAACTCAGTGTAGTGGTGAGAGACAGGAGAATGTCTCGGGGGCCCTTTTTACAATGCTATTCATTAGTATTATCAGTCTATCAAGGAGCTCCATCCAGAGGACATCGCACCTCACACACTGTAGTCAAAGTGGAGGAAGATGAGAGAGGAAACTAGGAGTCTACACGAATATTGAGGTAGAAGGTGGTGGAAACGATGAAGTATTTTAAGGGTGCTAATTTCCCGATAGGACATGTGAGAAATAAGGTGATTCCAGGTGAGGGTTCCATCAATGAAAAAAAAAAAACTGAGTTTTTAACAGAGCAGAAGATAATGGATTGGTCATTAAGGTATAGTATGGGATCTAAGAAGGGACTTGGAACTAGGGATGGCCATAGATAGTCGATATTTTACCATCGATATTATTGATTACCAATATCATCGCTTCTATATTTTAATTTAAATTTTTAATAAATCTATTAATAGTGTCCTTGGATGTGACAGAATGTAATATTTCTCATTAAAGAATTGATAACACGCATTTAAAAAAAAAAAAATTAAAACTATCGTTTTCGGAAATCGTTAGGAATTTATGTGAATTTGATCCCTTCCTAGTCGGTAAACTCAATTTGCCCAGAATTATTGCTTAGAACCTTCTCAAACAAAGGTCACGAATTGCTAAAGAAATCTATGTAGGATGCAAATAAATTAGTATTTCTACACACACACACACATACATACATATATATATATATATATATATATATATATATATATATATATATATATTATATATATATATATATATATATATATATATATATATATATATATATAAAACTTTCAGGCTGAAGCTGATAATAATTACTATCATTCTAGTTGTGGCCATCAAATATGACCATGGAAACATGCGATTTTAGAATAAAATAAATTAAATCCTGGATCTGCTAGTGGCCCAAGCTGTAAGAAACATTACCAAGGCTTTCAGGGAAGGGCGTTGTAACAAACGGACCATTTGCTGGTGTGTAAGTGTGCATCATTTTAAAGTAAAGAACTAAAGAATACAGCGAAAGTAAAGCCTCTTTAAGTCAGTGTCAGGAAGTTACTAATATATCGATACCATCGACTAGGGATGGGTCGTTACAGATTTTTAGTGTACCTGTTCCAATCCGTTCCATTCCCCAAACGGAACTGTTCCAAATTATCGATACCGTTCCAAAGCCGTTACTCCAGAATTTACCACCTAGGCATGGGAGATAGTCGATAGTTTTCCACTATCGATGAAAAATTAGCGGTAGTATCGATAGTTCAGCGACTTCCCACCACAGGCTAAAGGAATATTTATTTGCTCTCTATTCTTTGTTAATTTACTTTAAAATGTTGTATAAGCTTCAATTTAATTAATATAAAATATAACGTTTATGTGAAATCTAACATTAATATGAAATAAAACCTTTAATTAAAATTATAAATTTTATATTTCGATTTTTACAAGATTGAATATCCAATTATATTGTTACAGTCATATTGCAAATAATCTAATGAAAACAAAGAAAATTAATTAAAATGAAAGAAAAGAAACCTAAAAGTAACGTTCGTAAAGAAAACTAATTACAAGGATAAATGTTGGTGTCTAAAAATGCGATTTTTTTTCTCATAAAATTGTAGAAGTAATAGTAACAAGTACTAATATATTTTTAATAATATAAACAAATTTTTAAAGCATTCGTTTCTATATTTTGGCTACTCCGTTGTAACATGATTTATATGTTTCGAAATAGAATTATTAAGAAGAAATCGATATAAGTCATTTAATAATTACAGGCAAAGTACTTTACAAATTACAATATTTTTATCATTTTTAAAAATAATATATAGTTTGTTACAAATTCTTTTAAAAAAATATGTGCGAAACAAAATTAGTGGAAACGTAGACGCTACTTATGGTAATGTACTATTGTATGTTAAAATAAAAATGTGAAAAGTTTCATGCACTCCTGTTTTTTAGGATAATTAAGATTAACAAATTTTTGTGTCTATGGTTTTAAACATTTTAGAACTAGAATTATTTAATATTTTCGTAAATAAGTTTATTTTTAAAATAGTGAAAGACATAAAATTAAAATAAGATAATTATTTAGATAACAGGAGTTGCCATTTCTCCGTTCCTTATTTTACCAGCCTCCCCACTTCTTATCGATCCAGCTGGAACAGAATTGGAACTGGTCTGGAACGATTTGCCAACCGTTCCTCCCCACTCCTTATCGATCTAGCTGGAACGATTTGCCAACTGTTCCTCCGTTCCTTATCGAACCGGCGGTATCGATAGTTCTCAGTCGTTGGAACAGTTCCGTTCCGTTCCATAGTGAGATTAAGTTCCCGTTCCCGATCCAGTTCCATTGACCCATCCCTTATTGAAGTGAACCAATATTAACGTGTTTTCACCTGTTCTCTGTTTTGATTGTCATAATATTTGTTATTATTATAGTTGATTGTCATTTATCATCTTGAAAGAGCAAACAACTTCCCTTATAAAAGGGAATAGTACTTATTGACGTTAATGAAAAAGTATTCCAAAATTCTGGAATGACAAAATTCTTTAACAGGAGCATGAATATAAATTAGCTTTACTCAGCCAGAAAACCAATGTTGAGTTGGAATTATTTCAGCAAGAAAGTATTCCCTACTATAAATATGCAGGTGAACTTGACTTGACTGAGCCCTTTTGATGGTTCACTTTAACCTAAGCTTGAACTATGTTCAAATGATAATCTTCATTTGTACACCTGCATTTTAAGATTTGACATTAGTTCAAGCTTGATTTTA